CATTTAAAGATTGTATTTGATATTTGAGAGAATTCATAAATTCGATCAGAAACATGTAAAATAGTGAAAATAATAAATGAATTTTGCATTGAAACATCATTATTGTATTTTTCTCATATTTTGTATTTTGCATTAATCTTATATGGGTTGAGAGAACAGAAATACTTATTGAGTTAGTGAAACTCATTAAATTTCACTATGATATTTTTCAGATGAGAAAGAAGAGTCAGAACCGCTGCCAAACAAGTAGAACCTGTAAAAAAATGTTCCTATTTTGTATATTTTGTGCATATTTGAGAAATTTTCTTTTTGTTTTGTTAAACTCTAAATTTTGACCTCATATTTTGTATATATAATTACTGTATATATCACATGGAATGCTAGATTATATGATAAATTTTAACATGTGTATATGTATATTTTGTAAGCCCACTGCATGAAAATGACATGAGCAAGAATTGCGCCTCATATTAATTGTGGGGTGTTACAGGTGGTATCAAAGCCCACGTTCTTAGAATCATCCCTTGTGCATGAGGTTTTAGAGTTTAAATGTGATTTTTTGTAACTTTTAGGATATTGAAGAGTATGAATGTTCTAATTCATTCTTTTTTAAATGTGGGGTTATAAGATGAGACGTGGACGAACTCCAATGGGGCAACATCCCGATTATATGTCCTTACAGGAACACATTGATCGGTTACATAACATGGTAGAAGAGCTTGTTAATCAGCCTAGGGAAGGGATACCTGGTCCTCTCTCAGTACCGATTCCATACAATCCAAAACCAATCGTTATGGATCCAGATTGTCATAGGAAGTTTATGAAACTTAATCCTCCTACCTTTGTTAGTACAAAGAATTTCATTGAAGCTGAAGGATGGTTGAAAGTAGTTGAAAAGACATTTCGAGTTTTGGGGGCAATTTTCTAAGCAAAAAGTGATCCTGGCAACATATCTACTTATAGGTGAAGCTGATCATTGGTGAGAATTCAGACATACTACTTTACCTATTCCCATCATATGGGAAAGGTTTCGAGGGGCGTTCAGCAGTGAATACTTTCCTGCACGACTTCAACATCAGAAGGAATTAGAATTTATGTAGTTAACTCAGGGGAACTTGTCAGTAGTTAAGTATGCTTGGAGATTCACTGAATTGACTCATTTTGCTCCAGTAATTCTGATTGATGAAGGATAGAGGACAAGAAAATTTCAATAAGGGCTACGCCCAGAGATTCAGGATCCTCTTGCAGTTCTTGAACTGAATACTTATGATGAAGTCTTAGCAAATGCAAAGATAGTAGAAAGCAGACTTAGGGGCTCATCCTCAGGAGCAGACAGTTTTAGACCCCCTATGCCTTCAAGAAGGCCAACTCCAGGGTCTGGTTCACAAGATAAAAGGCTTAGAATTGTAACAGAGATATCTTCCAAATTATCATTAGCTCCTGAAAAGGCACTGACCTATCGTACTTGTGGAAAGAATCATGGTAATCAATCGTGTCATCGTGTCACTCGATGTTGTTTCAAGTGGGGTAGCCAACAACATTTGATTCGCAACTGCCCACTTATGAAGGAACAGACATAAGCTCCAAGACAGAGACGAGTGTACACCCTTACTGCATCAGATGTTGAAGAAAACCCAGACGTCATCCAAGGTATCTATCCTGTCTTTAAGAACTTAGCTAGGGTGTTAATAGATCC